GCAAACATCTAAGTCTGTCATTGTATCAAGTATCGATCTTAATACTTTATTGACTCACTTGACCCTCATAACCACTTTGAGGTTAGCTATTATCCACACTTAAGAAACAGGGAGCACTGGCTCCCTGGCTCAGTTGGTTGGAGCGTCGTCCCATGCACCAAAAGGGTTACAGGTTCGATTCCTGGTCAGGGTCCATACTTAGATTGCAGTTAGATACCCTGTCAGGCCGCTCGGGAGGCAAGGGATCAATGTTTCTCTTTCACATCCATTCTCTTTCCCTTCCTCTATAAAAATCAATAAACATATCCTCCAGTGAGGGTTAGAAAAAAGGAAACGGAAATTGAAGTAAGAAAGCTTACATAACTACTAGTAAGTGAATGTGCAGTCATTTACTTGAATGAATGAGGCAGTCAATGGATGGCCAGGAGGAGCGGATGCGAGAAGGCGCAGAGGGCTGTAGGCGGGGCCTAGCGAGCGGGGCCAATGGGCGCGCAGCTGTGGCCTATGGCGTCCCCCGAGGCCGCAGGCCCAGCCCCGGCCGCGCGGGGCCGCTGGGAGTTGTAGTCCTCTGGGTACCTAGCCACGTCACGCCTTCAAACCTTAAGTCTCCCCTTGTTCATGGTACGATCCGGATCCCCAAGCCCGTGAGTAGGTTCCCTCGCCCCCAGGCCCATTATTCTTTCCTCCCACTTTCCCTGAAAGCTCTTGTAGTCCTCAGGCTCCGAGAGTAGGGGACTCGGCAAAATCTTCCGGATCCCCCCCTGCTCGAAGCCAACTTGGTATCGCCCTCCACGTTCATCGACAGCCTCCCTCCAGCCTGTGGTAGAGCCTGCTCCGCACGGTGCTCTTAAGTTGTTTCTCGCACGTTCACTCAGTTCCTCCCGCCCTGGCTCGAGCGGCCCAATGTGTCTTCCTATTGCCGTATTCCCCGCCCCACACACCCTCTGTTTCCTACGCCCCGAGCCCTGCATTGGTACACCCCGGCCACGCCCCTCTTGGACGCTCTTGGTATGTGCCGCGCTCCCCCGCTCGCCCCAGTGGTTCGGCCGCGACGACCCCTCTTCGGCGGTGCGTCCCCCGCGCTTGGTACAGCCCGTCCGGTCTCCCCCTGAGCCGCGCGCCCGCGCCCCTCAGTCGGTGGAGCCCGCAGCCCCCTGCGCGGCCGGTA